TTGACACGTACTTAGTTTATTTTTGTATCGAATTTCCTTTTTTGGGTTTGTATCACTCGCAAAAATAAGTAAATCCCCTTTGCGGGACCGATGCTTCATATTTTTACGGAAAATTAATCCGAGTAGCAGACTGTCTTCCAGATGAAATTTGCGAAAAGCTCTAATTGAAAATTTGTATAATACGTTAAGGAATATTCAGTTAAAAAAATTTAAGCTGAATGCGCTTAAATGCAATTTAAGAAATGTTTATGTTTCTTTGTTCATATAATTTATTTTTTTAGGGAAATTCTATTTTTACCCAGGTTTAAAGTCACACAAAATATTACTAATAGTATTAACTTTAGTTACGTTAATGACATGGTTTATCTGGTGACTTTAAACTGGGTGAAAATAGAATTTTCGTTTGCATATTTACAATATTTATGTTTTTCGTGTAACGGTTTTATGCTTTCTGAGTCCACTGTACATGCATACAGTACGTACATACATACCATAATTGTGGATTTAGTGGGTCAGACGAATCCAGTGAATTGGTGGAATTAAGTAATGTAACTAAGTTGGAATTCAACGCTCAAAAGTGTTTCGCTTTACTAATTCCTCAAATGAGTAAAATCTATATTAATGATGACCAAATCCCGTGACGCTGAAATTACCCTGATTACTCGGGTGTGGTTAGAATAGATTGGATAGTTTTGGTATAGAGTTTATAGTGTGTTATCACCATTTTGTTCTATATCCATTCCGCCATTTCAACGTGCGTACAATACCTACGTACCTTCTACAAATTTGATTTTGTTTCACGTAAAATGCCAAGACAATCTTGTCAACGTACACTATGGCGCACCAATCTAATATTTTTGGATTAGCATAAATACCAATACTAATTCATTGCTGCAGATATGTACATAATTCATTAAGGTTTAATTTCTGGGAATTTTGAAAAAGGGCACTTTATCGTGGACAAGCTTTAATTTTTCCAAATGCATAGTTCAAGATGACATTTGTTAGTGCAACAAAAATAAAAGTGCAGTACGAAAGAAAACGTAACAATATAAAAAATACCAATTATAAAAGCAATTTATATATTTAGGGACGCCTATTTCCATCATGGTTCTCATGTGACTTTTAGTTACATAAGTACGACAAACATATTGTCCTGATAAATTACAACCAATGGTGGAAATAGTAAATTTTCATTGTGGAAATAGGCGTGCATTTATGTTAGAAACTAAAACTGTAAATTTGAAATTATTTCACAATCTTGTCGATTGAGCTAACGTAATAAAATTGTAGCACACCAACTGAGACAAAGCAATAATGTCTTAAACACTTTATTATATGACTCAAGAGGTTAAAATTATGATTTGCGTGTATTACGTTCCACTGTCGCTAAAATTTTTTGTTTGAAACTGTAATATTAATTCTTAATAAAAAGTTAAGTTCATTATACAAATTCATCGATATACTCACTTTGATTTTAATTCAACTGTAACAGGTCTAATTCGATGTAAAATTGTAACTACTATAATTCATACAGTATATCAAATGGATATAATTCCAGAAAATTTAAGTAAACGTTGTATCTTTTTTTTATCCTTATTTATTGTTCTTATTTCTCTTGCAATTAGTCATTGGATGGTGAAAAATGACATTTTTAAATTGATAAATGCTTACTACGATATAAGCCAATATGAACCAATTATTGCATTTGCATTAAAATGTCGCGTATATGTCTATTACACATTGGACAAGCATGAAGAATCACTCGCAGATCTAAGTACAATATTAGATATTGTGCCAAATAATGTATTCGCATTAAGAAGTCGCGGAGATATATATTATAAATTACATGAATATGAAAAATCACTCGTAGATCTAAATAAATCATTAGAAATCGAACCAAAAGATACTGTTGCACTGACAATTCGAGGAGACATTTATCGCTTATTGAAGGAATATGAAAAATCACTTGCAGACCTAAATAAATCATTAAAAATTGATCCAAATTATGCATTTGCATTACGTAGTCGTGGAGCAATCTATAGCATATTGAAGGATTATGAAAAATCGCTCCAAGATCTAAATAAATCATTAAAAATGGAGCCAAATAATATATTTGCATTACGATGTTGTGATGAAATCTATCGCAAATTAGGTAGATATGAAGAATCACTCGTAGTTTTAAACAACTTATTAGAAATCAATCCAAATGATGCATATTCACTTAAATATCGTGGAGAAACATATCGCATGCTTGGTAAATATGAGAAATCACTTGCAGATCTTAACAAATCATTAGAAATTGAACCAAATAATGCATGGGCACTAAAGATTCGAGGGGAAGCTTATCGTCAGATATGTAGATACGAAAAATCATTAGAAGACTTAAATAAATCATTAGAGATTAATCCAAATGATGCATTTGCATTGAGATTTCGCGGTGCAACTTATAGCGCATTAGGAAGATATTGGGAGTCGCTCGCTGATCTAAATAGATCATTAGAAATTGAACCAAATCATGTATTTGCATTAAGATTTCGTGCTGACACTTTTTATGCGTTAAAAAGATATAATGAATCATTGACAGATCTAAATATGGCATTGGAAATTGATCCATTCAATGTATGTATATTAAGTGTTCGCAGTAGAATCTATCGCAAATTAGGAAGAATCACTCGTAGGTTTAAATCAATTACTAAAAATTATCCCTAATGATGACTATACATTAAAATGTCGTGACGAAATCTGAGCAAATGAAGAAATTGCATTAAGTAATTGTGAAACTTATCACATATGGAGAACATACGCGACTCAAATAAATCATTAGAAATTGAACTAGGGAATTTACCTAATTGATATAATTAAAATATAAGAATTTGAATCTTTAGAAATAATCCAAATAATATTATAAAGCTGTGAAACTTAAAAATATATTTAACTATTTTTGATACCAATGATATTATTGGCATATATGTATATATTTTATCAAAGCACTTTAATAGTAAGAATTGTATGTGCTTAATATATATTATTTATTGTAATATTATATTAATAAACTAGGCGCTTGAGTGGCTTAAAGGGAGCTAGAAATTTATGTGGTATATTGTATTGAATAATGTAGTTTGTTATCGAATTGTAAGTTCATATGAGTTTATGGATTATATTGTTGGATTGAACTGTAATAGTTTGCCTTGTTGTTTTCGTTAGATCGGGTTTTCTTGGTTAAGTTTATGATTGTTAAGTGGATAATAGATATGGATGGTAATAAATTAATGTTAAAGTTAAGAGTATTTTCATTTGCTTCAAGCGGGAATTAAATCGAGGAAGTAAGATGTAATGTAGTGTATTTAAGGGTGATTTTTTAGTAAAAAATGTTTACCTTACTCTTTGTTATCGTTTGTATTGCAGGAAAGTTACTCCCATACTGTCTATGGTGTAGTGTAAGCTTAAATATTTGACAGTTGATTATGTGAAAAGGTGTAATGTTGGGAAGTAGCAGTGTAAGGATCTGGTTTTGTTTGTCTTTTATTTTTGTAACTATGAAGGTTTTTGGCTGCTATAGTAGTACAAAGATTTTGTTTTTATAGTGATTAGGTTTCGAGGCTGTAGTAGCAATGCAATGATTTAGTAATTAGGCCTCACGGCGGGAGTAGTAGTGTAACAACTGGTTTTGTAGTAATTAAGCTGTAGTAATGGTATCAGAACATTGGTAGTAGGCTTTGTGGCTGTGGTAGCAGTGAAAAAAATTTATTTTAAGCTCCATGTATATCGTAATAGTGTATGAACCTTCGCTAAATGGGTTGCAGGCTCCATGGCTGAGATAATAGTGCAGTGTATTTGAAAAACTCAGTTCATTATTAGATGACACAATTTAATCATGTATATATTTTAGTACTTACATGTGTATGTACGTACTTTTAAATATTTTGTTCTATGAGTTAATTATTTAGTTTTTAACTTTTAAAAAGCTTGTTATGGAAAAATTGATAACGAATTACTTAGCATATATACGGATAAATGTTTATGAATTTATATTCATATTGTGAGGGCCAATAACGTGACGTAAATACTCTGCCGGGACCTCACGTGAGAACGGGTACGACGATCAAATCCTTGATATGGATATCCCGGCAATTAATCGCATTAATGCGATTAATTAAATAAATCAAGGAAGTGGGATTAATTAGATAAAGAGGATTAATTAGAGAAGGAGGATTTATTAAATAAATAGGTTTAAGTGAATAAAGTAGAGGAATCGAATTAAAGGGTTTAATGAGATTAATGTAATTAATGAAGTTATAATTAAAAAGATATTATAAATAAAGGCTGAAATGGTCCTTTGGAGCAGTATGCTTTGTTTGCTTTATTAAATAATAAATCCCAATACACTATATTGTACATAATAAACACTAATACTATTACCATTACAAACCCTGTAATACATCAGTACATTTAACTAAAACAATTTGAAACCCCTTTAATAGTAGAACTCAACTACTTTTTAAACAAACAATTCAACAAATCTAACACATCTCTTTTGATCTAATTTACCTTCTTATAAAGTTACAAGATAAATCTGACTGATTAATAATTGACTTGTTGTTTTATAATTATAACAGATTCTATATTTTATTTAAAAAAATGTTGATTAGTAAGTATTATAAATTCAGTTTTGTTTTGATTTAATATAATAATTTATGCTCTTAACTATATAAAATTAATATTATGTACAGTCAGCTTTTTCTATAATGAACTGACAGTTTTGAAATAAAAAAACATTTATTATAGCAAGTTATTATATTTTCTTAAGGGCAATTGCATTTTCTATACAAAAATATTATAAAAATATTAAATTTAAAGTTTACTATTTCCAAAGTTCATTATATTAAGGTTCATTATATTTAGAGTCAACTGTATTTGATTTTTAATTTTAAGATTTGGTTACTAAAATCATATACACAAATATACTTTTTTAATTTTTAATTTTTTTAGATTTTATTAAAGGTTACTGTTTATTCTAAGGATATCAGATCTTTACAAATAAGGTAAATAAAACAAAATTTATTATAATTAAAGATTTTTTTTGTAATAATATTAATATGATGTTTATTTATTAATATATATATAATGTATTTAAAAATCATTTGTTTCAATTTTTATATATAAAATTTAAAATAATAAAAAAAAAAACATGAATATAAAACAAATAATTATAGGATTTGTTTAGTTTTTTTATTGATAAGATTAGATTATTAGTTATTTTTTACTTTGTTGGGTTATCTCTACTTAGTGTTTAATTTATTTAATCTAAATATAAATACAGTTGTATAATAAGATATTAAAATGAATTAAAATAAAGTAGTAAAATTTTTATAATAATTTGATTTGTAATATTATGATGGAGTATATAAAATCAAAAAAATTATTGCATAAAATTACTTAAACTATTATTATATAATAAAATTAATTACTTATATTTATTAATAATTGCTGAATCAAATTTTATATAAACTGAATCAAAAGAAGTAACATCAAGTGAACTTCATAATAAGACTCTACTAAGTGCAATGTATACTTGACTATATGTAAACATTTGTTCATCAATAGTTTTAAATTTGAAAGATTGTGATTCTGTTATTTTATAATTTAAAATTTCATATAATGTATAATAGGTAACTTTTTTAAAAGAGGGTGCTATATTTGGCTGATAGATAATTAAGACTTTCAGTTATTTGGATTCAATAATGACTAGTAGGATAAGTCATATAATATAGAACTTAAAAGTATAATAAAGTTTATAGATTTTACAGATTTTATACTAGGTTTAGTGTTAGTATTTTATTATAAATAATATCATGTATTAAGACTTGTAATTTAATAAAACAAATAAAGTATACTGCTTCTAAAGGCTATTTTAGCCTTTATTTATAATACTGAATTCATTACTTACAAATATAACTTTACATTTATTATATATTAAAACTAATTAAATCTAATTATAGTGATTTATATAATATCTTTAAAGATATGTAATTTGTCTTTACATTTTCTTCTTATTTCTTATCTACCTTTTTGGATCTGAAATACTTTTTTCAATTATAAATATAACTTATTTCAATTATTGCCTTTCATATATTTTTACATAATCAGTTATGATATTCTGGTATCCAATAGCAATTAAAATATTAGATATAGTTAATTTTTGTGCTTTATGTACTATAAGTGCAAATGTATTTAAAAATAAAATTGATGTTAACTTGTTATAAATCATTTAAAAAAAAAATGTTTAGTTATTTTTTTTATATTTGCTGTAATTATTTTTTGTAATATAGAAAATATAATATTGATTATGTCATTAGTAATTAATTTAATAACTATTTTAATAGATCTATTATAAAGGTTATTCTCAAATAAGGCATTATTAAAATATATAACATGAATACCTTTTTGCAAAATTAAAATTGAGTAAATTTGTATATTGTCAGAAATTACTATTATTATCTCTTGAATCTCATTTTTAATTATTAATATGTTTAATGACAATTGAGATTATAGATTTAAGATCTTTTGGTTCTTAAAACAAAGTTAGACATACTAACTTATTTATATTATCAGCTATAGTATGTAATTCAACTAAATGTGTAGTATCAATAGAAGAATATAAAAAAGATGTTTTTATTTTATCTTTTATTACTTATAATGTATTAGTTAACATAATTTTGCTTCAAATTTCATTTAACAATCTATAAAATGTTATATTCTTATCTTGTTTACAAGAAATTATTAAAAATATAAGGAAAAATTCTAACTAAATAAGGAATCAAAATACTAGAATACTATTTACAAAAAGTAATTAAACAAGATCACCTACTAACAGAATCTTAATTCTGCCAAAAGGTAAAGTGTTATTATGCAGATAAGCAAAGAGATTGCTGATAAATGTTAATAAGCTAATAAATATAATAATGTTAAGATTAAAAGTTTTATATATTTTTTGATGTACCAAACCAAATTAAATGAAATAATTACTATTGGATTCAGCTTACTAAGATGGTTCTAACAAGTATAAGATTATATGATTTTGATTATAAGATTACAAGTTTAGAATAATTTTGATAAAAGCACTAATTATAGTACATGTAACTTAATTCTGATTGGCTCTTATTACTGCATTAAAAATCTTATATTTCTTTCAGATCTTATAGATCTTATAGATATTACAGATATTACATTTCTATTAAATTTATTATTTTTATTATTTCTATAATATTTATATATCTTTTATATCTATTATATATATTATATCTATTATATCTTTTAGTTTTATATATTTTAATATTATTATTGTTAGGTATAATATTTAATCATTAGTTATTTTTACCTAGAAATAACAAACTAAAATGTTCTAATTTTGCTTAAATTTATTCTATATTTTTTTTTAGAAAATTTGTTTTATAAATTCTAAATAGGTTCTATTTTTATTATTTGAAATCATTTGATTTACAAATTATTGTTATTTCAAATTTGTTAATTCAATTTTTAATTGAATTTTTATATTTGTTAAATAAACTTTCAATTAATTTTTAATTTTGTATTCATTATTGTCTGTTAAAAATTATAGTTTTTTTGTCATTCTTCTTTTTTTTTTTTGTAAACCACAACATTAACAATAATAATAATAACAATTCTAACAATAATAATAATTATAAAATGCCTTATTACAGACTTCTAGAAAATGTTACTTGTACT